GGCGCGGCAGGGCAGGAGGCGCGCGGGGCCAGGCAGGGCGGCGGGGCCAGGCAGGCGCGACGGGGCCAGGCAGGCGCGACGGGGCCAGGCAGGCGCGCAGGGCCAGGCAGGGCGCGGGGCCAGGCGCGGCGGGGCCAGGCACGCGGCACGGCCAGGAGGCGCGGCGGGGCCAGGCAGGCGCGACGGGCCAGGCAGGGCGCGACGGGGCAGGGGCGCGACGGGGCCAGGCGGGCGCGAGGAGCCAGGCGCGCGAGGGCCAGGCAGGGCGCGACGGGGCCAGCAGGCGCGACGGGGCCAGGCAGGGCGCGACGGGGCCAGGCAGGGCGCGACGGGGCCAGGCAGGGCGCGACGGGGCGCGGGCGCGACGGCCAGGCAGGGCGCGACGAGGCCGAGCGGGCGCGACGGCCAGGAGGGCGCGACGGGCTAGGGCGGCGCGACGGGGCCAGGGGGCGCGACGGGGCTAGGAGGCGCGACGGGGCCCAGGAGGGGCGCGACGGGGCTAGGGGCGCGACGGGGCTAGGGGGCGCGACGGGCCCAGGAGGGGCGCGACGGGGCTAGGAGGCGCGACGGGGCCCAGGAGGGGCGCGACGGGCTAGGGTGGCGCGACGGGGCTAGGGGCGCAACGTGGCCCAGGAGGGGGCGACGTGGCTAGGAGGCGCGACGTGGCCTAGCTAGGGTACGGGCGGAAGCGGTAGGTGGGGGATGCTAACCTACGCGTGATACCATGTTAAAGTGAGAACGAATGATAACTAGAAGTGGAAACCTAGAACAAATACTAGTTGGTTGTACTCACTAGAAGCATACCTCAGTCTAGCCTATAACTTCTACATAGATAATATGTATAAGTTGACATAAAGATCATCAGCGACACTGTGTACAGCTAGGTCTCGTTCCTGTAGCCTCTCACTTGCTAGGACCTTGATTGTGTACAGAGCTTCATATATATTACCCTGACTGGCCTTGTGGCCTCTTCCCAGTGGCTGGACTAGTAGTGCCATCCTGGTCTTTCTCTTGCCTTGTCTGTACTTGTTTGACTGGTCTTTTAGACCCTTTCCTCAGAGGCTGGACTAGTAGTGCCACCCTGAGCTGTTTCTCTCATCGGGCACTGCCCCTATCCAGTCTAGGTGGTGTGGCAAACATATATTGTATGTTCCTGTAGACTATATAGGGTTGTGCCTTAGGGAGTACAACCCATTAGGTTATATTCCATTGTACGGTACGCCTTGTTCTAGACATTCTTTCACTTGGACACTTCATGTTCAAATTATATTTTAATATAATTGTTAGGCTTGGTAGGTTACCGAACCTTACTGTAGAGGGTACAAACCCTCCTTGTACTCTCTCTCTTCCTAATCTAATTCTCTTCTCTCTCGACACTCTCGTCAACTTCCTAGCTAAACCCTTGGCCGCCATTTCATGGCGGCCTCCTCTGTTTTCCTAGTTCAGACTTTAACATGGTATCGAGAGCGGGATGCCCTTCCTGGGCCTGCTCCCCTCCGTGCTTTCCGCTGCGTTCTCGTGCGTTCGTCGCTCCTCCCGTGCCGCCGTGGCGGCCATGTCGCATGGCTGCCACGTCGAGCAGCCGTGCTGGGCTTGCCGCCCTGACGTGGCGGCTCCGCCGTTCCACCTCCCCGTCGCGCCCCTCCTGGGCCCTGCCGTGCCTCCTATCCACGTCGCGCCCCTCTTGGGCCCTGCCGTGCCTCCTAGCCCAGTCGCGCCCCTCCTGGGCCCCGTCCCGCCTCCTCCTCCTGCCAGTAAGCGCGCGCCTATGGCGCCACGCTGAAGTCCTGCAGCCCCACCACAGCAGCCCCACCACCTCTCCCTCCCCTGCATCTCCTCCTGCTCCTGCCGTAGCTGCTGTCTTCGGCTCGGTCGTCGCCAGCCCGTGCCACACCGCCGAGAGCCCTCAGCCGCCGCAGTCGCCGCCTGTCCTCATCGACACAGCCGCCTTGAGCACGAGCTCCGCCGCTGTCGTCATTGAGGCCGCCCAGATGCGGCCAGCTGCCTCTCGACCGGGGGTGTCATAGCCTAGCACGAGAGGTCGATACCCGGCTGCTCACGAGAATGAGGGTGTCCGGGGTTAGGGGGTGTGTGTGTGGGTTGTGTGGGTTTGCCACTACCAAGCCTAGGGGGTGTGTTCAAATTATATTTTAATATAATTGTTAGGCTTGGTAGGTTACCGAACCTTACTGTAGAGGGTACAAACCCCTCGTACTCTCTCTCTTCCTAATCTAATTCTCTTCTCTCTCGACACTCTCGTCAACTTCCTAGCTAAACCCTTGGCCGCCATTTCATGGCGGCCTCCTCTGTTCTTCCTGCTGCTAGAGTTGCTGCTGCTGCTGTTGCTGCTGCTGCAGCTCCTGCGTCTGGCATGCGGGCTGCTGACATGGCTTGTTGCAACTGAATTCTCCATCAGACAGCACCTCGAGACATTTGCCACGGGAATAACTTCTCAAGCCCAAGGGTCGATGCAGTGACGAGGAAACCCTTGGGGCTCTTGGGGTCAGCGACTCAGCTGGTTGCCTCAGCACCAGGGTGGCTTGCCTTTCCTGCAAATACCTGTGCCTACACAGTATGCCCTAGAGGAGGGGGAGGAGGAGGGAGGGAGGGAGGGAGGGAGGGTGGGAGAGAGGGCGGGAAACATAAGGAGGCAGGGAAGGAACGAGGAACGAGGAACGAGGAACGAGGAACGAGGAACGAGGAACGAGGAACGAGGAACGAGGAACGAGGAACAACATTCATATCCTGAGCATTCTGCATTCTCACTCCCTCTGAATGCGAGGCACGAGAGGCAGGCGAATGAGAAGCACCGGGGATGAGAGACATGGGAATGGGGAGCAGGGGGGATGGGGAGCAGGGGAATGAGAGGCGTGGGGGAAGAGAGACAGGGGAATGGGGAGCAGGGGGATGGGGAGTAGGGGATGGGGAGCAGGGGAATGGGGAGCAGGGGGATGGGGAGCAGGGGGATGGGGAGCAGGGGAATGGGGAGCAGGGGAATGGGGAGCAGGGGATGGGGAGCAGGGGGATGGGGAGCAGGGGAATGGGGAGCAGGGGGATGGGGAGCAGGAGGATGGGGAGCAGGGGGATGGGGAGCAGGGGATGGGGAGCAGGGGGATGGGGAGCATGGGGGCAGGGAATGGGGAGCAGGGGATGGGGAGCAGGGGGATGGGGAGCAGGGGAATGGGGAGCAGGGGATGGGGAGCAGGGGGATGGGGAGCAGGGGATGAGAGACAGGGGAATGGGGAGCAGGGGAATGGGGAGCATGGGGATGGGGAGCAGGGGAATGGGGAGCAGGGGAATGGGGAGCAGGGGGATGGGGAGCAGGGGGATGGGGAGCAGGGGGATGGGGAGCAGGGGGATGGGGAGCAGGGGGATGGGGAGCAGGGGGTGGGGAGCAGGGAATGGGGAGCAGGGATGGGGAGCAGGGGAATGGGGACCATGGAGATTGAGGAGGGGGAGGAGATATGATATTGTAGGAGGGCACCAAGTATGGGTTCACAGCAGGTTTAGATTGGGAGGAGGGGGATGAGAGACGATGGGCGGCCCGAGATTACAGGGAGGGAAGATGAGGGCCGGGGGGAGATCGGTCTTCACGACGAATCCAGGCAGCAGATCTCGAATCTCATTAGTTCACTCAGCGGAAGGCGTTCTAAACTGTTACCCTTCCTCTGCATTTAATTTCTACGCTTAGAATGTCCATACACCATTCTAACCACCCCCTCAACCTTCCCCCCCCCCCCCCTTCCTCTCTCCCCGTGCCCCTACCCATTCCCCCATCCATCTGTCTGCCCTTCCTTCCGCCATCCCACTTCTGTTTACCTGAGATTTGCGCTCGGACTTCAACACTTCGAGCGAAATATCTGCTCGGGTCAACACTTTACCCTCAATCATCGCGAATGGTGTCTCCTCGCCGATCGTTTCCCGCTGCTCCTGGCTGCCCGAACAATATCCCCTATCCGTCAATCTTCTCTTCATAGATCATCGCGAGGATAATTTCGGCTTCCCGCCGAGCAATATGCTGCCCGGTCTACAAGCCTCACGCTTCCAGAGTCGTGCTATCCCACGCAGTGTGAGAAGGCCTACTTGGTCGATACGCGCAAGGCCCATGACTCTCAAATTCCGCCATAGTGGGAGAAGAACAAGCAGTGGAAAAAAAATCGATGTGGAATATTTAGGGCTGACAGATGCGACCCTGACGAAAAGCAGATTCGAAGTGGAACCATTATGCGAAGTGCGACGAGATGCAAGTGTCAAATGCGACGAAAATCACAAGGGGAGCCGAAAACAACCGATCTGAACCCGACCAAAAGTGACGCAATGAAGCAATAGTGCTGCTCCTACACTAATCACTCCCTAATTGGACCACCTATTCTCGCGAGGCCTCTAATTTCCGCACAGCCATGAAGTGTCGGAACCCTAGATTAGCCTCCTAAATAGCCTGGTTACCAAGACACGTTACGCACAACAATGGTTATACGTACCTAACAAGGTAGCTCAATATCCTCCCAAATCGAGGAACTTTGTAGTGAAGCACAAACTCAACCTGGACAACCTCGTGCATCCCCCAACCAAATTCACTGGATACCAAAAACCACCAGTCTCTGTTCGAAGCATTCGCGAAACCAGCAGTTCGCAAATCACAGCTGTCGCCGTGGCGTACGTCTGTAGGCCAAGGAGATCTTCGCGAACAACCTTGCCCATTCAACTTTCGCACCCATCAGCTTCCCTGTGTGAAACCGCGACTCGATTTCACAAACCCAAACTTCAGCCTTGGCAAATTCCGTCCATGGATCTGTCGCCCATAAATTGCTCCAACTGAAGTTCTAACAATCGTCCAGCAAGTTCCCAGCTCTCCCAAGCCAACCTTCAGCAGTCAGCCCACATATACTCGGCTTGATCTCCAAGCTCCCACCATCATCATGGCTGCTCTTTCCTCCGCCACCGCGGCTTCCGCCGCTTCCGCCTTCGCGGCGTCGAGCGCCGAGCTCGCGGCGAAGGTGAACGATGTGGAGAGCCGCGTGACGATGCGCAAGACCGTGAAGGCCGCGGACAGCCTGAGCCAGTGGTACGGCCCCGATCGCAGCCTGTTCCTGGGCCCCTTCTCCTCGCCTCCCTCGTACCTGAAAGGCGAGTTCCCTGGCGACTACGGGTGGGACACGGCGGGCCTGTCGGCTGACCCCGAGACGTTCGCGAAGAACCGCGAGCTGGAGGTGATTCACTCGCGCTGGGCGCTGCTCGGCGCGCTTGGCATCGTGTTCCCCGAGCTTCTGGCGCGCAACGGCGTGCCGCTGGGCGAGGCGGTGTGGTTCAAGGCGGGCGCGCAGATCTTCAGCGAGGGCGGGCTCAACTACCTGGGCAACCCCAGTCTCATCCACGCGCAGAGCATCCTCGCCACGCTCGCCGTCCAGGTTAGTCAGAGACAATGGTTTCGCCTTTCTATTTTTTCAATCTCTGCCGTCGATCGTCGTTCAGGATCGCCCCGACGCTTGCTCTCTCTCACATTAAACACGCTCAGTTTCTCTTTCCCCAAGTCGCTTCTTTCCTCACTTGATGAACTAAACCTCGGATCGGCGTAACGCACACGTTTCTGACTTTATGCCCTTTTGTAACATGGTAACCGACGGCCTCATGCAGGTGGTGCTGCTGGGGCTGGTGGAGAGCTACCGCGTGGGCGGGCTGGAGGGATCCAGGAGGTGGACGACCCGATCTACCCGGGCGGAGCGTTCGACCCGCTGGGGCTGGCGGACGACCCCGACGCGTTGCGGAGCTGAAGGTGAAGGAGCTGAAGAACGGGCGGCTGGCGCAGGTGGCGGTGCTGGGCTTCTTCGTGCAGGCCATCGTCACCGGCAAGGGGCCCCTCGAGAACCTCGCCGACCACCTCGCCGACCCCGCCGCCAACAACGCCTGGGCCTACGCTCAGAACTTCGTGCCTGGTGCCTAGAATACTCTGGATTTTCGTGGTTGGATTCGTAATGGGGCTTTGCTGTGATGACACATATTTGTACAGCCAGTGTTGGTATGTATATTTCAATAAGTATTCAGAAGGCGTGCAGTACCTTACCGAATCATGTTGTTACAAATCGGTGGTGCAGAGCGGTTCTAGGACAAGGGTTTCATAATTTTGGGGCAGGATTTCTCAAGTGACTGGGCTGGGTGACTGGGCTTCCTTCGTCGAACTCTTCTAGCAAACACCTAATTGGAAACTAGTCAGGTTTAGCCTTGTAGTTGAGGCAGACCTAACTTAATATTGAAAGGTAATCATTATCTCCTACTCTTACGATGTCAGTCGAATCGCCAGTCCAACAGCTCCCGACGATATGCTTTCTTGAATCTTTTACGCTCTAGTTCGATCTGATGGCCTGTCGGAGCGCGCTCTCGTCTGCAAGCTTTGGCATCGCGTCGCCCGAGAATTGCCCGAGAATACAAGATCTGCCTGAGGGGGTCGGACGGCTGGTGGCGCTCGAGGAGGTCAAGATCTCACAGATGAATGGCTGAAATCTCTCCCTCCGCTGCTGCTTGAGCTGCCCGACTGTGGGTACTGGAGGTGCGAGTGTTGTAAGGGCTGACTGCTTTGCTAGGGGATGAAAAGTTGGGAAAACGGACTGCCGGCAGTGGTTCAGGTGTTCTCATTAAAAATAAAGGGGGTTACAAGTCATATAGCAATTTCTAAAGCCGAAGATGAGAATTTCGGTATGAGCGTTGCGCTATTATGACATAGTAGCGTTTAGAGGTATAGAAGAGAAAAGAGAGAGAAGAGAGATATAGAAGGAAAGGGAGAGGAGATAATGGAAGAAGAAGTTAGCAGAAAGAGTGGGGGAGAAGAGAGCGAGAAAGAGGAGAGAAAGAGGAGAGGGGAAGGAGGGAGGGGGGGGGGGTGTGACTGTATTAGAGGGACATCATGGGACCTAACAAAGCAACAGCCCACGCGCACAGCGCGGGCACAGCGTCTCAAGCACGGCCTATATATGTTTTTTTTACACATATGCATCATACATATACTGCATGTCTGCTGCACTCTCGAAGCACCCTGTGATGTTGTGCCAACTCCCCTGCCCAGCGCCCAAAGGTACAGGTGCTGGCATCCATCCATTGTCGGAGCCGCCCAGCTGCCGCACTGCATGCTGCATGATCACATTTGCCTGCGCCCGCTGCAGTGCCACGGAGAGACGCGTAGTGAGGCTCGTCTCAAATATCCGTGCCGACCCGTCATCCCCTGCCCCCGAATCTCTCCTCCGCCGTGCTGTCCGCGATGCACACAGCCCTAGGAACTGCCGCAGTGGCTCACTCAGGCACCCAAAAGTCTCCACTACGCAGGCGTAGAACTCTGGATCCGGCTGCACCCCCTGTAACACCGGCCTCCAGTGTCGCAGCTTATCCTGCACCCACCTAGCTGCTGCGCCGCCAATCTGAGTGGGTGCCATCCGCCTGAACTGCGCATTCCCCTCCCGCTGTGGGTCTGCCACCGAGACGTCTACAATCACCATCAATGCATCTCGCGGCGCCCTGCAGGTGAGGTCGGGAATGCGGGCGGGTGCCCCTATGCGGCCTGTGCGAGCGGCTGGCGTCTGCTGTGCTGCGGCGGGCTGCTGCTCTGTCTGGTCCCCTGATGCCCCCTCTCTGGTCGTCGTGGTCCCCCTCCCAACTCCCCCTCTCACCCTCCCTCTCCTCCCTCCGCTCTCCCCTCCCCACTCCCCTGCCACCCCGCCCCTTTCGCCATCTCCTCTCCCCCTCCCGCCCCTCCCCTCCCGCCCTCCGTCCCTCCTATACCCCCGCCCACTACTGACCTCTCTAGCCCACCCTCGCGTGTCCTCCCCTCCCGCGTGCGCCTCTCCACCCGCCTCGCTCGCGAAAGTGCACCCGCCTCGGTGGTGGCCCTGCCCAAGAGCCCGTCCCCTGTCTCCTGCTGCTGTCCCGCTGGGCCCCCTGCTGCGGCCCTGCCTGAGCTCCCTGCGGCTGCTGTACCTGCCCCTCTCCCCCGCGCGCCGCTGCTGCCCCTCTTCGCCCACCCTACCGCTGCTGCTGCTGCTCCTCCTCCCGCCAGCTCTCTCCCGTGCCCTGCTGTTGCTGTTGATCCTCCCTGCCGAACCGCCGCTGCTGCCCCTCCGGCTCCTCCTCCGCCCCCTGCCTCTCTCCCTCCTCACCCGCCTGCCTCTCCCCCCTCTCGTGATCCCGCCGCTGCTGCCGTCCTGTCTGTCCTGCCCGCAGGGAGTCCGCGTAGGGTACCGCCGTAAGCCAAGCTCCCGCACCTGGACCCTGAAGGGATGTCAAACGGGCAAGATGCAGGGGATCAGTATGACGGGCACGTACCGACTCCAAAGCGTGCGCCTCGATGTGTCTGCTGGCCTCTTTGAAAAGGCCGTCCGGTGCTCCTGTCGCGCAAGAAGGCCAGGCCGGCATGAGGCGTAGGACGTCTGCCGGCAGGGCCTCCTGAGCCATCATGATGTGCGGATCGATCTGGACAGGCTCACCTGATGCGAAGCTTTGACGGAAGCCCTCCCCCACCGACGGCAGCGAGCAGAGAATCGGTGCGCACTGCGCCCACGAACAGAGATAACTCACCGAGGCGATGCGCTCCATGCGTCGGATGCCGAAGCCCCCGAGGCGAATCGGGAGAAAAGCCTGCTCCAGGGCTGCCTCGCAGATCGCATCCCTCTCCCTCCACGTACCTCGAACGAGGAGCTGCTGGAAGGTCGCTCCAAGCGCGTGTCCCACCCTGCAAAGATGGCACGTACCTCTGGTGATGGGGGGACTGTCCACGCCAAGTACTGCGGACGTGTGCTGACACACGCGGAGAGCAGGGGCGCCGCTGTCTGTGGCTGCCGCAGCCTGGGAGCCACAGCAGCACCCCAGCCATCCTCTCCAGTCGGTCGCGCAGGCTGGTCCTCACAAAGGTATCGGTGCCGACCGGAACGCCCGTCACGGTGAGCCCCCGGCGTGCGACCTCGATGCCAAGACCGGTGAAAGCCTGCACCTCGCTGGGCAGGATCGCGGACGTGTGATGAACAAGGCACTTGTGCGGCTGGACAGCAAGGCCCAACTCGCCCAAGCGCCTCACGACCTCAGTGAAATGGTGCAGCACCCTGTCTGGAGGGCCCACGAGGTAGGTGTCGTCGGCGTACGACCAGAGCTGGACATCACCACCTGCCAGGACGGGCTCCAGGGCGAGGCGCTGCGTGAGTGCGTAGAGAAACGGGCTCAGCGGATCTCCCTGCCGGGTGCCGCGCTCCGAGTGCATCGTGGTGACTCCCCTACCGGCCCGATAGATCAGATCGGACGGCGTGCCGTAGAAAAGACGAATGAATGGGATGAGACACCTGAACTCAGGGCTGGCATGCAGTGCCTGGAACAGGACGTCGCGAAAGAAAGAGTTAAAGGCGTTGGCCACGTCTAGCTGCAGAACCACCCAGCCTGGGTGGTCCGGCTAGAGCACGGACGACGCCTCTAACGGTGACCTCTGTGCCACACGTGACCCCGACTCCGAACTGCTGTGACGCGAGGAACACTCTCGCCATCTGGTCGCGGAGTTGGAGGCAGACTGCGCGGGAGAGGACGCGCACGAGCACCTCTCCAATGGCGATCGGCCGCACGTCCCCGTTCGGCTTCGCGAGAGCCACGAGGGTGGACGAAGCCAATAGAGAGCGCGCAGCTGAGGGGCAGCGTCCTCCGAGCCAGAGCTGGTATACAGACAGCAAGGAGGGCAGGGTATGTGGGAACGCCCAAAAAGGTGTCGCGGAGGTGTTCCGCCACCCATCCGGTAGGTCCTCCCGACGAGCCCCGCGATGCAGTGAAAATGGCCTGGCGCAGGTGGGTGGCCGAGAGCACGAGGCCGCCCTCGTGGAAGGTGGAGAGCCACTCCGGTAGAGGCGCTCCGCACTAGGGTGCTTAGCCCGTAGGCTATGCACCGTGCGATCCGTGTCTGGAGCCGCCTCGGCCGACTCCAGTGCCGCGCACGCACGAGATGTCTCGTTGCACGCTGCCAAGCGTAGGCAATGCGCAATCCGACGCTCGTCTCCCGACGTGGCGGTGCCGGGGGTGCGACGTGATGTGCGGGTGGGCAGGGGCGTGCGACGACGCAGCGCGTCAGAGAAGAGAGGGTCCCACTCACCTCGGAAGAAGCGTGCGATGCGAGCCGCGATGGAAGCTGTGTGGCCCCGCTCTGGTGGAGTGGCCGGCGCTAAGAACAGCGTCGGCACCGCCGTAAACAAGAAGTGGGGCCCGTCGGCGTCCGGATACTGCTCCATACGGGCGGTGATCGCACGGAGGACATCAGAGATGCCTCCGCGGACCCTCGGCGGGATGCGCCGGAGCGGGCGAGCATGCGTCCGGGATGGGGAGAAATACTTCCTCCAATCCACAGAGTCCAGCTGTGCCCACTGCATGTCGGAAAAGACGGGGACAGATGAACCCGGACGTGAGAGTGACCCGCCGACCGAGGCGGCCTCCTGGCGGGCCTGCACATGGCGTGCCTCATTGCTCGGGGTGCAGTGAGGTGTGTGGTGTCGGAGAGCTCTATCGTCCGCCATGAGGTTAAGGCACGTGGGACATCTCACCTCATGGGCTGGCGTGGACTCGTCCGCGTGATCGGTGTGGGCGGTCTCGCCCGAGCTGGCGGTGGAGGCGGCCGGCTCGACAACCGGGTCCGGTCGATAGTCGCCCGGCATTGGGGAAGGAGGCTCACCTGCCACCTGGGTTCGGACGGGGGTCAGCGGCGGCGGCGATGTCGCAAGAGGGGGAGAGGTCGACGGGGGGCCCGAGGGCCTAGGTGCGGCCCCTGCATCCTGAGGGGAGGGGAAAACACCGGTGGCAGGGTCGGCCGCGGGTGTCAAGCTGTGTGCTGGTGTGGGTGGGGGGTGAGGGTCTATAGCACTGGGCCGCGAAAACGCTCCTCCTGGATGTGAGCTGGGAGGGGGGACCATAGGAGCCTGAGATGTGGCCGTATGGGGTGGGGGGATGGTGGCAGGGGCAAGGGCTGCATCAGGCTCGAGGGGAGGGCCAGAGTGCGTGTGTGCTGACTGAGCGTAGGTACGGTCGCCTGGAGGCGTGGTCCTGCCTGGGCCAAGTGGGGGGCCAAGGGGCGCGTCTGAGTCGTCGATAGCCATCCGCTCTGGTGCGAGGGCTGTGGAGGGAGATAACGGGGGGCGGCATGGGGTCGTCGGCCGGGTCGCTCGCGGCCCGGGGTGCTGGGCCTAGGGGCGGCGCAGAGGGGTAGCAGATATGCTCCAGATCCCGAGCAGGTCGGCGACTGCCGCCTCCGTCTCCCAGTCCGCCCCTGTGACTGTCCGCCTGTGGGTGGGGGAAGGAGGGCGGGTTGGTCGGTCATGGTGGGTGGGCCGCCTTGGCCTGGACCTGGGTGGAGGAATGTGGGCGGGAGGGGGGGAAGAGATGGGAGGGGAGGTCGACGCTGGGGGGGGATGTAGGGCTGCTTGGGAGGTGCTGGTGCCGCTCCCTCCGCCTCTGGATCGATGTCCATCTCGGCTGAGCTCGTGTCCGTCTGCCCTGGCGGCCGAGCTGTCCCCGATGCCCCTTTGGTCTTGCTCCCCTTCCGGCGACCTGTACCGGGGCTGCCAGGTCGTCCCACTGAGGTCCGCAGGGTGACCACCCCCTGCTGTGGTTGGGGGTGGGAGGGCTGGGAGGGTGAGGGGGCCTGGTCGCCGGCAACGGGTGACTGCGTCGGGTGAGCGTGCGCTTGCGCTTGCACGCCGAGCCGTCCTGGGGTGGGGCTGGGGCGAGTGAGGGAACGTGGGGAAGGAGACGAGTGGTAGCGGTGGTGGGATCGGCCGCACCGCTCTCGAAACACATCCCCGGGAGTCGGACGGCTGGGAGACAGCTAAAAGGGTCCGCGTCGGAGTCATCGATCACCATGCGCTCCGATGTGAGGGCGGTGGACAGGGGGGAAGGGGGGGCATGGGAGATGTCTGGAGCAGAGTCCATGGCGCCCCCCCCACCCGACCCGGACAAGCGGGCGCAGAGGGGGTGGCGGACGTGTCCCATATCCTTAGAAGGTCCGCAACTGCCGCCTCCGTCTCCCCATCTGCCCCCTGCGACTGTCCGCCTGTGGGTAGGGGGAGCAGGGCAGGCTGGTTGGTCGTGGTGGGCGAACCACCGTGTGCCCTGACCTACGTCGGAGGTTGTGGACCGGAGGGGGACAAAGAAGTGGGTGGTGGGGACCGACGCTGGGGGGGGATATAGGCTTGCTTGCGAGAGGCTAACGACACCTCTTCCGCCTCCGGTTCGATTTCCATCGCGGATGGGGCATCGGCGGCAACCGTCTGGTAGGGGGCCAAAGGCGGGATGGGGGGGTGACAGGGGAGTGGGGCCTGGGTGGGGTGAGGGAGGGAGACCGTCCGAAGCTCGCCATCCTGGTTATGGGAGGGCAGTGGGTGGCGGGCCGGGGGCAATGATGGGGTCGCCTGAGGGGTGGTGGATGGTAAGGGCTGCACGCCAGCAGAGGCAGGAGTCGTGTCCGGCTGCTCCGAGCGCCGGGCTGCCCCGGGTGTCCCCTTGCCCTTGCCCTTCTTCTGGCGACCTGTGTGGGGTTGGGCAAACTGTCCAATCAGCGGCTGCTGTGTGACTGCCCCCTGCTGTGGGTGAGGAGTGTGAGAATGGGGCAGCTGGGAGGGTGAGGGGGTGTGGCCGCCGATGGCCGCCTGCCGCGATGGGCTAGCCTGCGTATGGATGGCGGCCTGCCTTGGGGCGGGTGCAGATGGGGACAGGGGGGGAAAGCGAGGGGTGGTGGCGGAGGTGGAAACGGCAGCACCATCCGCGATGCCCCGCCCTCCCCCGACACCTTCCCCGTCTCCTTCCCCCTGGGCGTCTGCCGACATCGCTGCCTGTGCGGAGCGACGGTAAGGGGGGATGTAGGGTTGGGAGGAGACATCATGCAGGTCCCCTACTCCCATTTTGTCGACGTCCATCGCGGATGGGTGGCTCGCTGCGACCACCTGAATACTGACGGGCAAGGAGTGTGTGGGGCAGGAAGGGGGAGGGTGAGATGGGGGGGTCGCCCTCGCCTCGCCCCTGTTCGCGCTGATGGGCCGGGCGGGAGTGTGAGGGCAAGGCAAGAGAGGTGGTTGGGCAGTAGGGTAAGGGTTAAGCGTGGGTGGGACGCTCAAGGGAGGGGGTGGGAAGGTTGGGTGCCCCGGCGCTGGGCTGGAGGGTGTGTGAGACGGAAGTGACAAGGGAGGGCCCAAGAGGGAGGCACTCCCATGGTCGCCTGCCGTGCGGGACATGAAACCTGGGGGCTGCACGAAAGGACGCGATGGGAGTTCCGGCTGGATTGCCAGGGAAAGGGGGCGGGTGGGGATGCGTGGAAGAGGGAGGGGGGGGGCGGGGCGGGCAAGGTGGGGCCCACGGCCGGGAAGGGAGGCAGAGTGGGCGCCGAGGGACCCCCGCCTTGCCCGAAGCTTAGCTGTGGGGCTTGGGAAGTGGGATCAGCCGGGGTGAGACGGCGAGGGCCGAGAGGGAGTTGATTCGGGTTGCTCCCCCTTGCCAAAGGTGCACCCCGCTCACCGTTCCTAAGGGAAGCGCCCGTGTGGCCGACAGGGTGTGTGCCCTGTGCCGGGCGGGAGGCACCTGGGGTGGAACAGGGTGGGGGGCGGACTGACGAAGGGTGTTGGGCAAGAGCCGCCCCTCCTTGTGCTACCCAAGTCGAGGCGTCCGGCGCGGCAGCCTGCGTGGGTGGGGGGGGGAGGGAGCAACCCGCCCGGCTGTTGTTTGTGATCCTGGCGTCGGCGCGAGGGCTGGTGGGGGAGAGCATGGAAGGGTTGAGTCGACCAAGATATATCCGGCGAGCGGGCCATCATTGTCCGTGCCATCCTCGGCGGCCGCCTCGTGGGGCACACTCGGCTGTAAGGGGAGGGTGTGGGGGGAGAGGGAGTGGTGAGACTGCGTCCCGATCATTGGCTCGGGTGTACAGGGGTCCGCCAAAAACGCCAAGGCTTGGGCCGCCCCGCCCATAGCCCTGGGTTGTAGCCCACGGCGAGGGCCCTGCGCCGCTGGTGAAGCCCCTGCATGCATGGGATTGGGAGTAGGGGGGGGGAAGGGGGGGACGGGGGACCGCAAGGGAAGTAGGGGGAGGAGGGGAAGGAGGGGGGGGGAGGGGGGAGATGGGGGTGGTGGGAGGGGATGAGAGTCTCTTCCGGCCCAGGTGCTGCCCTGTGTCCGGCCTCCTTAGCCCTCGTCCCAGTTACTGCCTTACCTTCAGCCGCTCCGGCTGCTGTCTCTCTCACCACACTCCTGCTGGAGCTGCCG